TTTTTTTTTTTTTTTTTTTTTAAGTAAAGCTGTGTTTTCTAAAACGCTTCAAATGTCACATTTTCTGCTTGGTTTGACAATATTTCCAGTCCTTTGCCTCTTTTTAGCTAGAGAATCGTAAATTATCTATTCCACTTCCTATACTTAGGCTGATCTTTGAATGGTTACATCCTAAGTGCAGGAACTAAAATGTTGGGTTTTTTTTGTAGAAAGGAGGGGGAAAGGTGACAACAGAAATAGCGGCTGCAAAATGACACACTTTAGATTTTTTTAGAAGGTATAAGGTTAATGTCTCAATTTTTTGTTCTGTAGAACTTCAACTAAGTTAGGCACTTCATCTATCTAAATTAGCGATTGAACATCTTTCCCTTTTGAGTGTGAGTCTAATTGTCCAGTGTTTTGTCTTATTTCTGACATAGTGAATATGTACTATTAAATTCTGCTAGAGTGCTCAGAAACAGTGTCTCTCACTTGGCAATTGGAACCTGAAATGGCAATATCACTGATTCCTGCTTCAAGCACCAACAGTGTGATTTTTGTGTTTTCTCCTAGGTCCTGAGAGGTAGGATTACTGCTGTTTTATATTGTGGGAGATATTAGTTGGCATGTAGTCTGTATCACAATAACTCAATTCTTTTGCTAAGAATCACTGAGACGATGGTTATATGCAGGTGCTGGTAAGGTACATTTAGAATCCTGACCATCTGATTGCACTCACTCATCATGCAAACTAGCTAATTTTCAATTTGAGATTTATTGATTAATTTCTCCTGCAGTCCTGTGCCCACTGTCAGTTATGGGAACAAAATTATACACAAGTGTTGAGGCCCTGACAGATTTTTTAGGGCTTGATGTTTTTACAGTTATGAGGGTACATCTGAAGAATAGTTGTACAAATTCAGAATATTTCAGATGTTACTAATAGACTTTAAGGGGTTTATTGTTGTTATTATTGTAGGTGGAACTGGTAGCACTGAAAAACCTAGCTTGTACATGCTCAGTAGTGATTTTCTTTAATCTTTTTTTTTTAAGAAGCTAAAAATCTCTGAAAATTCCGTTACTGTTTAGTGAGCTTGAAATTCACAACTCTTAAAGCTGATTAAGAACAGGAGAGAGTATACAGTGTCCCATCTGAATTTTCCTTATGATGACTGCTGTCAGATGTTTTGGGTGGTGGTTGGGACTGAGCACTAGAATGGAAAGCAAAAATCAGTTTCTTTTGTGCTTTTGGGATGGAAACAGGATGTCTGACGTCTCACGTGCCACCGTAAACATTTTTATGGTGGCACAAATGCTGTGCAAATAGACATTGATACCCTTTGTTCCACCACATGAAAGGAAAAGCAACGGTGCAACAAAAGGTGATGATAGACTCTGCCACTTTATTGCAGCAGCTATCTATTACCTCTATGGTGGACGTATACAGGAACCCTGAGCTTGAGGTCAAGTCCCTGGAACATCTGCCCACATTTCTTGCTTACAGAGAGGCACCCTGAAGAATCTTGGGGTATTTGTAGTTCAGTAGGGAAGTTTGGGTTCCCTGCTAAGCCAGATCTGGGGCATGGTTCTGACTAAGAGAGAGCATGTCTTTCAGGGAGGAGGTCTGGCTGGGAAGGGAAAAACAAGGCTTTTTCTTGGCCAGACCCATCCCCCAGTGATTACCAGGGACAGGTCTGCCTGAGCAGGGGAAGTGGGGAAACCACATCACCCCTTGTCTCGCATCATGAAGGGTGGGAGAAGGGGTAACTCTACGTTTTGCCCAGTGAAGCAGATCATAGTGCTGCAATACCTTGTGGCATTGCTGATCTGTTTCATTTGGTGACATCTATTTCTAGCCTTGATGCGTTTCTCCCCACTTCTGGCATCTGATCAGCATGAAGGAGAAAGCTGTTTGATTTAAATGGAGATGGGAGAAGCAGATCAGTAGGGAGAGGAAAAAGCAACTTGAGACAAGAAGTCTAAGACTGCATCTTGTGGGATTGTGGGAATGGAGACAAACTGGAACAGTTTGGACAAAGAGTGCTAGCTCTCTGTCTCAGGCAACGAAGGTTAGGATTGAGAGGCTGAGATTTGGGGGCAGGGGAGAAAAGGAGTGAGGGAGTGGTTTTTGGTGATTTAGAGAAGAAGCCCAATAGACCAGGCTGGGTCTGGCATGAGAAGCCTGTGGAGCTGATGTTGAGAGCGAGGCAAGGAGAATGCAACCAGGGCAAGCAACTTAGGGTCAGTGAGAGGGAAGTGGGACATGTTAACACGTGATGGGGCACAAAATAAGTTTGGAAGAAAATAATCAGAAGCTTGTACCTACTAGAGGACAATCCTCTTCAGAGTCTTGAACAGTTAGAAAACTCTTGTCTCATCTTTCCTCAGGTGTTAGCAAAGAATCTGAAATTCATTGGGACCATGATACCCTTAAGTGCTTGTACATGTAGTAGATGACAACCTACTAGTACTATAATTTACTTCATCTCAGGTGTTTGTACAGTGTATCTAAATGTTCCAGTTCTTTTGATGATCCACGTGGGGGTCAAAAACAGATCATGTTCTAATTTTGTTTCAGTTTTCTTCCTTAAGAATGTACATTATTTTCAGACAGCAGTATCCAGATTGCATGGTCAAGCATTCAAAAGTTAGTAAGCTCCCAAAAATGTAGTTGGCAGTGCAATATTAATTCAACCCCCTTTATATTTTATTTGCACCACCACAAAGCATATTTTCCATAGGACCCTTGCTTCATCCAGACCACAGGATGGATATGTTCTAGGAATGAGTTAGGGTTATGTAGTAAGGGATGTCTGTACACCCCAGCTCCATTGCTTTCATTACTTGGAGGTCTGTAGCAGATAAGTCTGGGGATTACATTGCACGAAGAAAAAGAAGGGTCTCATGCTTGAAATAGTTGTATTTTGCTGTGGAGAATGGAATCCTGCCTTTTTCTTTCCCAGAGACTTAGGATGTAAGGTTAAGCAAATTGATAAAACTAAACTTTTTGCAGATAGCTCTTAATTCCTCTCCACTTTCTGGATGACCAATCTGAGACCCTGACTGCTCCTAAAATCAGTGGGAGTTGTACTGAACATGGCATACAAAGTTTTCAGAGTATTTGGCATCTCAAATAGAAATGGAAAGGAAATTTATCTCCCTCAGTTTTACATCCCTAAAATCTGATGAAATAGGCTGTGTCCTGCAGAAGCTTGCCTCTCTGAACCAGTTAATTTCTAAGGCACCACGCTACCTTGCCTTTCATCTGTAAAACGGGAATAATTCTACCCACTTCTTGCATAGAAGTGGTAAGAACAAAAATGCATAACTGTATTTGAAGCAGTCATACTAAATTTACTTGTGGGCATTTCTATGGTGATCATAACAGTTGTCTTTACAGCAGTACTTGAATAATAGAATCAGAAAAATAGGGTAGGAAGGGACCACAGGAGATCTACTCCAACCCCCTGCTCAAAGCAGGACCATCCCCAAGTAGATTGCCGTATCCAAAGCTTTGTCTCTCCTGGTCTTAAAAACCTCTAAGCATGGAGATTCCACAACTTCTCTGGGTAACCTGCTCCAGTGCTTTACTACCCTTCTAGCGAGAGGTTTTTTTCCTAATAATTTGTGCAGTGAACAAGGGATAGAGCCACACATTGAACAATGAGAAAGCAGTATATTGCTCCTTATGTAGTGATCCCCACTCATCCAGCATACTGAATGAGACAGGATTTATGCAAAATAATTGGGTAATTGGCAATTCAAGATGGCATCGTAATGCACATGTGCATAGGGGAGAATTAAGCCTGCGTGGGTAAACATAATTCCTTTGCTGACTTCTGAGTGCTTGACTTTTCAACAATAAAACAGTTTTTAGTACAGGCTTTGTATGTAATAGTATACTGAATAATTTATTTCCTTTTCATCCCTCTGCCCCCCAGCCCCTTCTCACCTGTGTCTCTGGCTGTATCAGTATATCTGAAAGATTTTCACTGCACTTAGTCTTTAGTGGAAGAAGCATTATATATCCTATTTTTCAATATGCATTTTTTCCATTTCAAATTAAGTGACTTTTTAAAGGGTTACATGGAAACAAAATATTTAAGATAATTTAAATGACTTGTTTTTTGTGTAATACAAGGCTTTTGCATAACAGTCGTCTTTAGTTCTTTGTCTTATGTTTTTCTATTTTACATGCTTAGCACGGCCAATTTAGGGAGTCTAGGAGTCTGTTTGATGAAATATTCCTCAGTCCACCAGAGGTATGGTACAGTTCTATCTAGTTTTAGATCTTTTTGTGAACTTTCCTTCTGCCAAGTAATCACTTACGATGATTCCCAAATGTCCTTTGTGGAATTATCTTTGCATCGTTGAAATCTCAGAGTTGTTATAAAAGGTATGCTATTTGATCACTTATTTGTAATGTTTATATCTTCAATTCTTTTTTCAGGAAATTATAGTTTCTGTCAAAAAATATTCTGCAAGCTACCTGAATTGCATAGATCCATAGTACATATTTATCAGTGACTGCTTTTTCAGGCTGAGTACTCGCATTCAAATAACTTCTCCCAGGTGTGTTCTCCTGGTAGAAAAACTTAGCCAGAGCTATAACTACAGGCATTCAAATGCTGAAGGCCCTGAAAAGCAGAGACCTTGCGATGCTGACACTGTGTACACATTGCAGCAATGCTCTGCAGGCACCCTCGGTCTGTCTAGTGACAGATGGCAGCAGTGTATGGGCAGCCCTGATTGGCTGACCCAAACTGCGCATTGTCGGCTTGTTTCCCTGCAGCACAATGTGAGGACTGTGAAGGGGGCCTGCTCTGCTTGCTGCTGGAGCAGCAGTGTCCAGTGAGCGACATAGTGTCTCCGTGGTGGCGGAGGGTTGTGGGGGTGGGGGAGTGAAAGATGCTGGAGGAATATTTTCTCTTCTGAGAGAAGCCATGGCATGTACAGACACTTGCTCTCCTAGGAGTGATTTATCCCTGGTTGTTCCCAGGTTATTTTTCTCCTGGAATGGCCATTTGTACTCTGGGAGTAAAAGCCAGGAATCTGTACACTCATGGCTTCTCCTGCAAGACCAGTGACTTTCCCAGGAGAAACAGAATGTTTGTACAATGTTTTAATGCAACACCTTGTTTTCCAGGTAGGCTCTTTATGTCTAGTTTTGGTTTGGAGAAACTTATAAATTCCTGAAATACAACGTTTGGAACAGAGCTAATGACACAACCTTAATTATAGCAGTAGTCACAACTGCCACTGTAATTAAAGCTTTGTTTATAATTTGGTGCCTTGCTGTTTACAAAATAAACTGTTGTTTTTTGTGATATGTACCTAGGCTGTTAATGTATTTTGTTGTTAAATATTTTCTGATCATAGAAACAAAAGTAGTTTTATACTTTAAAAATAGATTACAAGGTCTGCAATGACTACAACCTATGTTGTAGGTTATTCTTTTCTTACAGCATTAGCCATAGTGTGAAGTATGCAGTAAAAGGGGCAAAGTCGGTTAGGTTTTTCATTTAGAGAGAGAACTTGTGAAGGAAAGACGTGTCTTTATTTTTTTAATTTAATGCTATTCAACATTATACACTGTAGCTATTTTCACTTACTTAAAAGACTCATCCTTAGAAAAACAGTACTAAACTATCTATTTCTGTTAAACGGTAGCTGCATTCAGTTCTGGACTTAAGAGTTCCATAAAACCCTGGAAAAACAAATAAATCCAGAATGCCCCTTGCCTGCTTCTCCTTCCCTAGCAAAGCAAAGCAAAACAAAACTCATTACTGCAAGGGGTGGAGGTAGTCTATTTTGAGGGAGAGAAATTTTTAAAACAAAACCAAGATAGTAGTCTGTAACAATGATTTTGAACTGTAGTGAGGACATGTTCGGTGGACTGATGGATCTCTACTATCTCTAAGTTAGTAGCATTTGGTTTTATAATCATTACAAAGTATGTCTTGCAATCTGATTCTGGAAAATTTAGATTGCACATGATTAAAGGTTAGTTTTAAAGAGCTCAATTTAATTATTTTTAAGATTATCAGAATTCAGTATGCAAATATTGTAACACTAAGTATAAATTAGTTTGATATAGCACTCTTCCTTAAGAAGATATCCCAGATTATTATGCAAAATAATGTATTATAATTAGTGGAACAAAATAAAATTAATTAGAACATGTCTGTCTGCAGATATCTGCTTTATATTCATATTTTGCCTTTCTAACAACTGTGGGAGTCACTTATGGAAAGATAGGAAACATATGTTGGACTGTTACTGAATCTCAGCAGAATTTTGCCTTTTTGAAGTTTGCAAATTAAAAACATTAACAAATACTTTTTTACAGTTCATAGTGGTTTAATATGGGTTGCTTATGTGGTTCAATTGTTACCAGATAATTAGATAATGAGAGAAGTATGTGGTTCTTATCACCTTTTAAAAAACAGCAAAGCAATATTAACCATCAATTTAAAATGAGAAAAATTATAATACATTTCCTCAAAGTAAACTTTGGCACATTTTAATTTCTGAATTTTTATGTAATCTCTCTTCATAAACACCATTAATTCATTTTCGAACTGCAACAGAAGTTGCACTAAACTTTTCTTAGTACTTAGGGGCGCTTATACACATGCAGCGAGGCTGCTCTGACGCACTGTCATAGCACACTTGTGTAATTGAGCCTACTGCAGTGTGGTAATAACTGCATTCTAGCCTACTTCAGCATGTCATATATTATCATCCCTGCATTCTAAAATGGTGTTGGGGGTGCCTTAACTAAAATTCACTTGATGAGCTTTAATGTGACCTGCCGCCATTTTTCAGTGTGGGGATGCTGGCAGACAAGACCCTCCGGGCACTTTAATTAGCCCTCCCCCCCCTCCACTTCCCTTGGAGAACACGTTTAAATGTCCTAGGACGGTAATGTTGCAGACCAACAGCTAAATTTTCCAATTAAGGCACATTTAACATTTGTAGGGTAGTTATGCCCTGCCCAAAGGTATTGGAGTTCCTTAATTGGAGTGCTTATTTTTTCCCAGACAAGGTTTTTTGCGTGAAACTGATATCTTTTATTAAACCAACTTAAATAGTTACTTTGCAATTGTCTCTTTGCCTAGCATCATTTTCAAAGCAGTCATTTCTCTATGACCAGCGTTTCTCTTTTCCATGACTGAAAAATGGCAGAGAGAAACTTGGTGCCTGTGCTAACTCATTAGGCAAGTCTTTTTTTACACATTTGGCTGTTCATTAACCTTTTGAAAATATTTTAAGATCTTTTATAGTAGTACAGTTCACTCAGGAAAATAGAAAAGTATTGGATTCCTTTACGTTAACTTTACAGTAGAAACACTTAGTAAATGGCTCAGTTTCATATCAAGAGTTATTTAATACACTTTTAAATATAGAGCTTGTCTCTACTTCAAACTTACTTGCTGCGAATGGTACATTTTAGATGTATGCTGCTTAGTTTGTATGCTGCCTACTGAGCCAGAAGCAGTGTAACTGTTAGGTGAGCATTACTGGGACTCGCCATGTCAATTCCTGATAAATGTAGCTTAACTAAAACTATTATGGCTAAATAGCAAACACTTTTGAAAAAAGGTGAGAGTTTATATCTTCCAAATCTTGCACTCATTTTTACCATCAGGAAGACTTGCAGTGTTTTCCTAGCCACCGCATCTTCCTTTTTGTTTGTTTGTTTGTACTCTTTTGATATTAATCTGACCAAATGTATACAGACTTTATCTTATTCTCTAAACAGCAATACATATTGTACTGGCAGAGAGAAAAGTATTAGCATGTGAGAGTTGTTTGTTTAGCTGTTGAGTCTGAGTCTGTAATAGGATCAAGTGACAGTGAAAAGGTCACTGTTTGGATCACCAAAGTAACATGAGGAATTCTAAAATATGTAGGCATATCTTGCATGTAAACACAGTGTGACATTTACTTATCTTTTGCTCATTTACAGTCTTGCATTTTTTCCACTGTGACTTCATATATTTTTCTCTAATTTTATCATGATGCATACAGTTCTTTATGCAAATGAACTGTTTGCCCTGTGTTGAATATATCCAGTCTTGTCAATATCTTTGATATTGACGAGGCATCAAAACATTAAAAATAGGATTTTTTTTAAAAGTCCTACATCTAAGTATATCAGGGATTTTTTTTTATAATTTTGTCATGACTGGGGAATTTTGGATTATTATTTTGAAGGTATTTCATCATTAACTTTGCTCAAGTTAAAGAAATTGGATGTCTGTCTGGAGACCAAGATTATAGTTTAAATTATTTGTGCCCTCTGGTGACATTGTTAACAAAGCAATTATTTTGCTCCAATTCCATCTTTTCAGAAGCATGCTAGAGATTGTGAAAGTGCTAGCCAAATTCATTTTTGTTGTAGGGTCTTACTTTCCATCATGTGCCAATTTTCCAAAATGTATAAAGCCAGGAAAGACTAAATGCAGAATAATTTATTAAAGGATGTGTCTCATTTAAGAAATTTTGAATTCACAACTATGTAAACAAGCAACTGGCTACATTGGTGTGTACTGAAGCTCATTCATTGTTTTATTCTAAGTTCTCAAGATCTAGCATTTCAGCCTCCAAACCTTTGTTTTTTTTAAAAACTTTTAAACTTGCAGGGTTTTACTTTGTAAGCATAGAGTGACCTAATATAAGTTGTGCCCCTTCCTACAACCACTAATGGCTATAATTAGGAAATTATTTTAAAAGGTTAATTAAAATGCAAAATTAAATATCAGTTGCATAAAATGTAAAATACATTGTCTCCTAAATTTGTGTTGATCATATATAACCTGTTCACATAAAGAATTACTATTTTTGCTTGAATCTAAGACTTCCAATATGTTCTAGATGTGATCTTCACTTGTATTTAACCATGTTTAAAATGTAAGTGCATTAAGATTATTTAAAAATAGGACTTGAGCTGTCTGTTGTAGGTGGCTAAACTTTCCTTATATATTTATTTCATTGCCATTGTGTTCAAATGAGATTTAAACACTGTCTAAGTGTTGCTTGGAATAGGCAAACACTGAATTTACAAGTGCTACAGAAATGCTCCAGCCCAGTGATATTAACTAAAATGCTTCCCCTTTGGCCTTGGTCACGTCCCTAACATGGTTAAAAAATAACAGCAATAACCAGCAGTCTATATACATTGGGTATCCCTATCTTGCAAACAAAGATTGACCTGAAATGATGCTAGCGATTAAGGAAATTGCTTAGAAAAAGTTTCTGCTCTAGACGTTCCTGTGTACTAATGTAAGTTGTGATTGTGATGGACAGTTATAAAAAACAGTTTTATTTTAAAATTACTTCAAGGAGAAAGCTTACAAATGTCAATGAATTCTGTGATTTTTTTTTGAAAGGTTGATAATATTTTTAACTTGAATAAAAAGATAAGAGATTTTTTCTAATATAGTAAATATTTTAATAGTTTCTTCAATGTTTATTTCTTAGTAACTTAATGATACTAAGGGGGCTGGACTAGATTATCTTTCCAGCCCTATTTCTTTATCATGTTCAGCTGAGAGCAGAGGATTATCTTGTAAGATGAGGTTGAACTGCACAGATAATGAAACAGTGGGTGTTACATGTAAATGTTATTTAATTGAACAAATACATTGTAAATACTTACGCTGATCAGATGACTAAACACATATATGGAACTAAACTTGTCCATTTTAACCCCATTGAAGATAAATTCATCCCTAGTTTAACTACTTTGTTCCCTTTGATTTTTCTAACTGTAGTTCTTCATGTGTGAAATAATGATCTGTAGCTCAATTCAGATTTGAATTTATCATTTTAAATGTACGTTACTGTTGCATTTGCAGAAGTGTGTATTAAAAACATTACTGGACTTTATCGTAGTAAGCAGTAAAGCAAGCAATAACCTTTAATAGGTGTCTAGGTTGTTTTTATCTCGTATACATCCATATCTTGTTTTCTATACAGACCTCAAAAATATCCTTCTGCCATGATTCAAATACAGAATTAACCATTTTAAACTATAGGCTGTGCATTTATTCTAAGATAAACTTTTTTCACTAAAATTTCAACAACCTATACACCTAGGAAGAAGAGTATCCTCCACGGGATGACTTCAGTGATGCAGATCAGCTTAGAGTGGGAAATGATGGCATCTTCATGTTGGCATTTTTCAGTAAGTTATTTTCACATTCCATACCTTTTGAGGTGCTGAGTTAAATATAAAAGTTGAAGATGCAGAACATTAAAGTAAATGGCATGGACATACAGTAACAAATTATTTTTTTTTTATTTGTATACAGACGTAAAACAGTACCTATTGCTCACAAAAAGCAAGTATGTTGCTTTTTTCCCCCTGTAGTCACATCAGAGAATGGTGTTAAAACTAACTTACACCTGTCACAGGTAGCAGGACTGAACAAATCCTTAGTTAAGGCAGACTAGTAGTATATTGTGGACCATGTGTCAAAGTTTTAGCAGAACTGTAAACACTTCAATTAACTGAAAAAGGCTAGATTGCAGAAAGTTGATTAAATTAGTAGAAAAAAAATACTGTGATACATGCATTCTCTCCCAAACAATGCTCTTGGCAGCTTATTGCACTAAATAGCTGTAGGTGGATTTGTTCAGACCTATTTTAATTTTTTCAGGTCAAACTAACCATAGATATTTAAGATAATCAACTCTTACAATTATCACTTTTGTGGTAATATACAACACTCTTTTTCCAGACAATCTTTGATTGCTACCAACACCACCTTTAGTATTTACTTACTTACCATGTGTGTGTTGTGCACCTTTTATTTTCTAACATATATATTCTATTGAGTCTTTTATTGTTTTACTATAAATTCTTTCGTGAAAATTGCATCCATTTTCCAATGCTGTTTAAATTCCTAGAAATTGCCACCTCTTTCCAAGATAAATCTATACTGCAGATGCTGTATTGAAAACATGTTGCTTGAAAAGGTGTCTATTGCTGATGTCAGTCACCCTTGCATTCCTAGATAATGATTTTGACTCGGAATCCTAGTAAAAGCATATTTTTGTATATATCAGATTTGCCTGACAAACATGATATCCAGAAATGTTTTGTATCTTCTGCTTATTGTTTAAATTCCTTGCCCCAAACTATTAAATTGGGTATAATAAAGGTTTTTTGTATGTAAATCATTTTTGTAAATGCAGATATAGTCAGTGCTTTACACCATTTTGCTCTCTGGTCTTTTCTAGGCCAGGTACAGGCATTACACTTTTAGCAATATAAGTGATTGGAAACTGGTCTATACCTGTAACAGAACAGAAGTTCAGTTTACAGACTGGTTTAAAAATGGCAGAACCAGTCTATGATTTATGCCCCCCACAACATGGGGCAAATGCATGTTCTGTTTTGCTACTGATATAAACTATGCTACTTACAGAAAACAGTATAATTTGGTTCAATTCCTTCTCAGTCTTTTCAAACGTTTGTGCCTAGCCCTAGTGACTTGACCCAAATAGACTTTTAAGTTTGCTACAACATTTGAACTAAAAGATTTGGGTGCCTCAGCTCATGTAGCACAAACTCATACTTTTAAATGCGGGCGTTTATTCAACACCAATCTTCATATACATCATTACGTATAATGCAGAACTCTTGTCTGGGTTATTGACTTTGGGGAACCTCTGTATGTAAAAGCATGAGTGTCTGCTGTGTGAACTGAAAGGTCTTGTTAGCTTAAAGTCTGTACAAGATATGCTTATGTATATAAGTAGATAGTGACACTGGATTGGATTCAGAAAGCAAAAATGTCACCAAAAACCCCATGCTCAGAAACTTTGTACACAGCTTTGGGTACATAAAATTAAGCACGGCTTTTTATACAAATTGATTCTGTTTTTCTCTTCAACAAAATTAAGGCATATCTTTTTAAGGAAGCCAATATTTCTCTCTCTTTTTTTAAAAACTTATATTTATGTCATAAGAGAAGATGCTTACCACTTCATTACTCTGCCAGTGTGTTTCTGTTCAGTTTTATTAACTTGTTAAAACATGCTAATGCACAACAAGCTTGTTCTCAGAACAAGACAAGGACAAAGCTTTTAATGAAAATATGTGTCTATTGTGTATGTGTATGTTTGCAGCAACTTTGTATGTCAGTTAGATAACAGCATACATAGGTAGACATTTTAACACCTAACTGGGCATTTGTTTGCATGAAGTTCAAAACCACAGGTACAGCACTGAAAACTTCTTTGCTTGACAGTTGAAGTAATTTGTTAAAGAACTAAATTGTGGAGCTGGAGATTTTTTTTCTCCCAAAACAGACTCGACACATTTTAAATGTATAAATGAGGGCAAGGGGGGTAAGTGTACAAAATTTTGAAAAGTGCCACCAGCAGTTCAGAGGAAGGAAACTTTATTTAAGGCAAAGGTGTCAACAGATGTTTGACACCTTTGCCTTAAATTTCCTTTCCACAATAGGCACATATTTCCTTTCCACAATAGGCACATATTTTCATTAAAAGCTTTGTCCTTGTCTTGTTCTGAGAACAAGCTTGTTGTGTATTTGAATGTTTTAACAAGTTAATAAAACTGAACAGAAACACACTGGCAGAGTAATGAAGTGGTAAGTATCTTCTCTTATGACATAAATATAGCATTACTTGAGGGACTAGGAATTCAGGGGTGGGGCAAGCAGGGGGGTGAAGTTATCTGCCAAATTCTAGGGTTTGGAGCCTACTGAGGACACATTTTGGTAGTGGGACAAGCTACAGCTGTATTAACTTCTGTGGCTCCCTGATGCTGCTTGCCCTGCTGTTGGAGGTGGCTCTGTATCCAGCCTGTGTGAAGTCCCGTGGTTTGGATCTGGCCCAGGGAGTCAAATGAGTTTAACACTTTGGATTTTAGGCTCTCTGAGTAGCTATATTAAGAATAAAAGGAATTAAGTTAAATGCATAATTTCAAAAGAGTAGGGGCCTGGAACTTTATGAGATCCTGCAACAGGGTCCTGAGAATTGGGACAGTTTTGCCTAGGGCATTTAAAGGAGGTAGTACAAAACTTACAGAAAATGTACCCATGGGAAAAATTCTGCCTTGGCAGGGACATGGACATAAAGAAATAAGGTTCTTTATTTCATTTTTTTTCCTAACTCAGCTTCCAGCCTAACATTATTCTAAAGAAACCCAAAGACCCCAAAATCAAGGACTTTGAGTTTTATAAAAACTCAGTGTGAAATAGTAAAGGAGGATCTGGTAATTATTTAACTTGTCTTAATCCAGCTGATCGTATAATAAAAATATTGTTGTACTGTGAAGCTATTCTTCACAATTAATGATATGTAGCTACCATCTAGTGGTAAATATCTAAATTGCAATTTAATTGATGTCTTTCCAGCCATCTAGTGGCCATCTCTGTTCTTCACCCCTTGTTTCCTCCTCATTTTTGCCCCGCCCACCCCACCCCACCCCACTCACCCCTCCTCCCAATATTCTGAGCAGTGGCATATTACAGAGATCTGTCTCTGTTATGTAACAACAAATGAGATGTGGAAGTTAAGTTCACAATTTTACAATAAAAATTTCCACCCCATGTTCCAGTGTATAGAGTTGTTTTAACAAATTGTTTGTTGGTTGGTGCCATTATTGCATAGTTAAACCTAGGTAGTAATTTCTGTAGCTTTTAATCCAAGTTGTAGGAATTTTAAAACAGTCATTTTGGACAGCTACTCTTCTTTTCCTGTATTTGCTAGAGGTCAGATCTAAAAGCTTCTGACACACCTAAGTTTTTTGCTGAAATCAAGTTTTCTTTATCTATTCTTTTCCACAAGTAACAGTGAGCAAAAGAATATTCCATGCCAGAATCCAGGAATGGTGCATTGCAGGGCTGTATTTTCAAACCTGTATACATAATACATTTATTGGGAAAGATTTATCACGTAGAGGTAGAGCTTGTCTGTTTATCTTAAGTATGACTTTTCAGTAATAATCTATGAATATATCTAATGTTCAAAATTTGTTTTATGGCCCACATTTTCTATAACATTCTTATACAACTATTGGCTTTTGGCAGGTATATTACATTACCAAGCACCCCTACCCCTTCTGTTGCTAATTGTATCCTGCAGCACAATTTATTTTCTTCCCTTTCTAAGGCCTGACTAAAACTCTAGTTGAAGTCAATGGAAAAAATGTATTACTGACTCATCTGTTCTGCATGTATATTCATTTTTTTGTCCTGTGTGGATAGAGCTAGGTTTGTCAGACTTCTGGGCTATCTTCTGCTCTTGTGTTCAGAGTAGAAATTGTGTTGCTTTAGTGATAAGGTGTGGAGTAAAGGAAAACTCTCAGAATTGTGGGCAGAAGCATGTCATGGATAGCTTTTAGTGTTGCTCCACCTAGTTTCATAGTTAGTAGGGTCGGAAGGGACCTGAGCAGATCATCAAGTCTGACCCCCTGTCATGGCAGGAAAGAATACGAGAGTCAAACGACCCCAGCAAAGTGATTGTCTAGCCTTGTCTTTAAAGACCCCAGGGTAGGAACCAGCACCACTTTGCTTGGAAGTTGGTTCCAGATCATAGCCGCCCTGACAGTGAAGTAGCACCTCCTGATGTCTAATCTGAATTTACCCTCTGCCAGTTTATGACAGCTATTTCTAGTTACTCCTGGTAGTGCTCAGGGGAACAGGGACTTCCCCAGTGCCTGCTGGTCCCCTCTGACTAGTTTGT